GGGTGACGATGCCTGACGTGGTCAGAAGACCGTTGGCCTGATGCGTTTTACGCGGGCGCGGTAGAAGGAAAGTGTGTGTAGGATTCCGTCCTGAGGCGTGTTCGTTTACGCAGGACGATGCCGTCTCTGACGAGGTGACGATGCCCGGCCCGACGGGGTGTCGATGCCTGACGAGGTCAGAAGACCGTTGGCCTGATGCGTTTTACGCGGGCGCGGTAGTGGTGGAAAGGTTGAGAATGAGTGGGATTTGGCAAGACAAGCGAGAGGATTGTGGAAAGTGACGCATGGTGTGAGTAGCGTGCGAGTGTGTTTGTATCGCGTGATGTGATGCTTAATTATGGGGTAGAAACTGCTAGGCACGGTATGGGACGTGCCCAAGTGGTTTCGTCTTATAATTGAGGCACGCGCGTCTGTGATTCCTTGCTTGTGATGTGTTGGCGTGTTATTGTCTAACGTGCGAGAACGTGCGTGATGGATTCCGGGTAGGGTCGCATGTGATTGTTAGTTTGGCCGATCGTTGTGTGTTATGTGTGTTTTCGTCCGCGGTACGTGAGTGCCTACGTGGGGTTTGGGGTTGTACACTTATTGAGATTCGTCTCACGGTTGTATAACCGCCACTTTCGAACCCCGGCCCTAAACCCGGAAGTGCGCCTTTTCTTTTTGGAAGTCCGGGGAGCTGCTGTTGGTGCCCAGTGGAGCTGCAGGTGAATTCCAGAGATTCAAGCCAGAAATTCAGAAGCAGAATAGAAGAGGGCGACCCTTAGGTTTTTCCCTAGGGTGATTTTAGGGGTTATCCGATAGTGAAGTTAAGATAACCAAACCCCAGAACTTTTGTTTAAACGGTGACTGAGGATGTTAGTCTGTATTTATGTCTGTAATATGATGTTTGTATATTTGGTGTTGTATGAATATGTGGTTGCTGGATTGTTCTGTTGTTCTACCCCGTTGTCGTCATTATTTGTCCGGGGTTTTGTTATTCGCTTCCGCATGTGGCTCTGATGTTTGGGTTGGGTCGGCGACGTTCCTGGGACGTCGCATCATTTCGACCGGAGCAGGGGATGTCGCGAGCTCGTAGGGATTCGGGGCGTGACAGAGACTGCACTTGCAAATAAAACCTAAGCTCTCCAAGTCATTGTGTCGCTAGACCAACTGGCCATGGTCTTTATCTTGCGCATCGTTAGACCAACTGTCCATGGTCTCTTCTTGCTAGATCAACCTTAATAGTAATTTTCACTTGAAATAAGCGTCGATTATGAGATTTCTCTTTTGAGATATTCACCAAGCATCGGAACAGATTGGGACCAATCAACCATCGGCTCTGATACTATTTATTGTGAACACGCAACAAAAACCCGTTAGCTTCATCTAAGGAGATCGCTAAGAGAGAGCCCAAGCCCAAGCCCAAACCCAAGCCCAATCTCGTCAACATATCCAATTGGACCCACATTCACTCATACGTTTAAGCCAATGAGTTATACGCCAATTGTGATATATTAACTGCTCAACACCTCATCAATTCTTCGATGTCTAACATAATTTATATGTGTATTCTATCAAAACGTTTATCAAATCAAAATATTGTTACATTTAGTGGAGTCAAGTCAAGTCACATGGGGTTGCGTGTCTCGACGAGAGCCTTATAATAGCATAACGTACCTTAGACTAAATGAATTAGTCAATACGTTATATCCTCTCTTTGTACACTTTCCCCGTCGTAACAGAACAGTGTCTCCATGTTTATCTAAAATAAATTTAGCGACACATAGACACGTGTATATAAATATAAATAAATGTACACGCTTTGTTGTACGTGAGAAAACGAGGCCCACCCTCTTGTTTTTTTTTTCTTTTGATCGTATCCACAATTATAAATGTTTGAACTGACAACTCTATAAGTTTCACAACTATAGAAAGTTTAAGTCAACATTTTTATCATTTTAATTTCATGACTTAGAAGTACCTCATCATGTTATCAAGGTATGATTAAGATAATTCCCAAACTTTTCTATGTAAATGGTATGTGATAGTTCACAACTTCCCTCGATCCAATTGAAGGATTGTTTCGATAATTGCCAGCCATAAACACTCATACTAAAAATATATTCATCTACCTGCCCAATTTCTATTGTGCTAAACTTTTTACCGACTCTCTTTCCGGGATCAACTTGAAGTTTTATATCTGTTACGTTGTGAAAGAAATTACGATGTAGCGCCAAAGGAAATTGCACCAAACATACTTTTAGGACGGAGTGTTCTTAGGTGATAGTATAAACCTATCGACTCTACCTGTGGCCAATGTAAGAAAATATAATTCTAAGCGAATTAGAATTTCTGTAGCCATAATAATGCAAAACGTTCTGATTCCTCTATCTACACAATCACTTACGAAACGATAAGCCGATGTCACTAATACAACTTGCCTTTCGCAATCGGAAATCGCTTATTAAAGGGTTTATCGCGACCTTCTTTGCGTGTTCGTCATCTCGACGTAATCTTTTACGCTTTTGAATCGAATTCATTTGAGAGTTTCCTTCGAATGTAAGGCTGTCCATGCACAAAGAAAAACCCTAAAAAGAGTGTACGATGTTGTGATGAATGACTCAAAAGTTTCCTTATTCTAAGGAGCTTCAGTTACAATGTTGCTCAACAATGGTTCATGAGCAAGAAGGCCACGCGGGATGCAAAGGATTAAAGCAAGAGCAAAGTAATGGTGACGAAATAGCATAAATTGACGAAAGGTTAAAGGAATATCATAAATTTGCGAAAGTATTGGGGGTACAAGTAGAATTAATCTATTTTTATGATAACTTGATTCATGGAACTTTTTCCAAACCCAACGTTCACGCTTTGTGGGTTTCCATCCGAGCATCGTTTGCATGGGAAAATGAGATCCCCGTGACCGAACTTTCACGCGTAAAGATTTCCATGGTGAATGCTTGTCTAGACTCAGATTCATGTGGACCGAGTCGATTACATCCGCCGATTACACGTATTGTATGTAAATATCACAAAATTAAATGGTTGCGATTGCACTTGGTTGGACCGGCCATGATCACGGGGAGTATTTTTCAAGAATGCCGGTGGAGCACTTCATATAAAAATGGCAAAAAAAAGAGAGGACAATGAAAGGTAGGAGAAAGGGATCCAATTGCTGATCTTGTGACATTGAGGGTGACAGGAGAGAAGTCATGCAAATATGATCTTAAAACATGTAAATGTTGCTGGTTGATCTTTTGCCCTTAAAAGAAATTTAGAACATTAACTTTGGAGGTGGGAAACTAAACCAACTTTTCTTCACTCTTTGACCATGATGTTAACATGAAAAATATTATATCAATAAGCAGTTGTACGTACATAAAATTTAACTAAATGTTTACCTGAAAAGTGATAGGGAAGAATTTTCATGGATATCGAATAAGATTTGTTTAAATATCCACTTCTTGTTGTTGTGCGGATCGATTTTATATGCATTCTTACTGTACTTAACGCTCTGAAATAAAATTAAATGAGCAATTAATACTTGAACGAAACGACACGGTGAAGAAACCACCTGGAAATTCATCCATTTGTGGATGAACCTTCACTTAAATTTCCAGTCAAATACATATCTCGATGCCTACTCGATTTTGCAGCTAATTTTGGAAGGAGATTAATACTGCACAAACACGTTCTAGACAAGTTCTTTTCAAATTGCTCCATCTGTTATAGAGGTTTTTTTAAGTATTTCATTAGGATAACAGATCCTTCCGAATCCTCTGGCGAGTACTAATGGCAGCGGTAATTTCTGAGAAGGTGAGTTATAATTACCGAAAGGGAAAAAAAGATAAATTACCAAAACAAGTACATCACCCATAAAGCAATAACTCATCAAATTTTGGGTAAGGGTTAATACCACGAAAAACCCTAAATTGGTACATTTGTGACACATTTACCCCAAACTATTTTTTTGACCACAAAAAACCCCAAACTGGTACACCTGGGATAATTTTACCCCGAACTTACCACAAAAAACCCCAAACTGGTATACACGTGACAATTTTACCTCGAACTAATTTTTTAATAATATATTTTTTTTGAATTTTTGAATTTTTTCTTCATTTTCAACCTCTGGCCGGTCGCCGAACCGGCGACTGGCCAGAGGTGGATGCCGGCAAGGTTGGCCCCGCCGGCTACTAGCGAGGCTCGACCTTGCCGGCGTGGGCGAGGGCAGCCCTCGCCCAACGCAGGCGAGGGCAGCCCTCGCCCAACGCAGGCGAGGGTCACCCTCGCCTGATGCCGGCGAGGCTCGACCTCGCCGGCCGCTGGCGAGGGCTGTCCTCGTCCGACGCCGGCGAGGGCGGCCCTCGCCGGTGTCGGGTGAGGACAGCCCTCGCTCGAGTCAGGCGAGGGTTGCCCTCGCCCGCCCAGGCGAGGGCTATCCTCGTCCGATGCCGGCGAGGGCAGCCCTCGCCCGACGCTGGCTAGGGCGGCCCTCGCCAGCGGCCGGCGGGGCCGACATCGCCGGCTTCCGCCTCTAGCCGGTTGCCGGTCCGGTTACCGGCCAGAGGTTGAAGATGAAAAAAAAAAGAAAAAAAGAAAAAATTAATAAAAATTCGAAAAAATAAAAAATAATATTAAAAATTTAATTCAGGGTAAAATTATCACATATGTACCAGATTGGGATTTTCTGTGGTAAGTTCAGGGTAAAATTGTCACAGATATACCAGTTTGGGGTTTTCTGTGGTAAGTTCAGGATAAAATCGTCACAAGTGTACCGGTTTGAGGTTTTTGGTGGTTAAAAAAATAGTTCGGGGTAAAATTGTTACAGATATACTAGTTTGGGGTTTTTTATGGTCAAAAAAATAATTTGAGGTAATTGTATTATAAGCGTATCAGTTTAGGATTTTTCGTGATATTAACCCTTCGGGTAATTGTGACTGCAGATCAGATACGTCTGCGTGGAGAGATCTTCCAAGAAGCTACAGTGAACTTTCCCATGAACGTTCCTGCACTGTATATATGCAAATCCACGACAAAACCTTTCAAAACCAATATAACCAAATCCACACCTGTCAAACCAAGGTCAATTAGTGCTTTGACTCCCTCAGACTCATCTTCATCCTCTTAACCCGACTCCATTCTGCTAATCCAGGCAGACCCTTTTGCCTCCTCCCTCTCTGTTGACCATCCATGTCGTCGTTGAGGCTCCGTAAACCTAGCGAAGCAGCAGCAGCGACCGATGCCGCACTCGGCCGCAGCGATAGCCATAGCCCGACGATCATCCACAGGCGAAGGTGGCGCTTGGCTTTCACGGTCATATACTTCACGAGGGCTCTCGAGTCTCTGTCGAAGCGAGTCCTCGGGAAGAAGACGGATCTGTTGCGATCGCTCTCTTTCGTCGCCATCAATGTCGACCTCGAAGGCAATGATAATCCTCGCGAAGGAGATCGCCCATTGCTTCAAGACGCCAACCCGAAGATCCTGAGTAACCTGGTAAGAGAGAAAGAGTTAGAATCTCTTGCTCAACTTGGTGGCATTAAACAACTCGCTTCGATTCTCATGACAAATCCTGAGAATGGCTTGAGCGGTGATGAAGCTGACCTCATCCGGCGAACCAATGTTTTCGGTGCGAATAAATACATTAAGCCGCCGGCAAAGAGCTTTCTCAGTTTCGTGCTTGATGCGTTCAAAGACATGACCATAATCATTCTCATAGGATGCGCTGTTCTCTCTTTAGCATTTGGTATCAAACAACACGGCCTTAAAGAGGGTTGGTATGATGGTGGGAGTATAATCATCGCCATCTTTCTAGTTGTCATCGTCTCTGCTCTCAGCAACTATAAGCAAGGAAGGCAGTTCGAGAAACTTTCAAAAGAGAGCAGCAACATAAGAGTGGAGGTTGTGAGAGATGGCAGGAGGCAACCGATCTCCATATTCGATATCGTCGTAGGCGATGTCGTGTTTCTGAAGATTGGCGACCAGGTTCCGGCTGATGGGTTGCTTGTAGATGGCCATTCCCTGAGGGTTGACGAGTCTAGCATGACTGGTGAAAGTGATCACATCGAAGTCGACAGCGAGAACCCTTTCTTGCTCTCGGGCACCAAAGTGATAGACGGCTATGGTCGAATGATGGTCGCTTCTGTCGGCATGAACACAGCGTGGGGCGAGATGATGAGCTCCGTGAGCCGCGTCTTAGATGAAGAGACCCCGCTCCAAGCCCGTCTAAACAAGTTGACTTCCTTCATTGGGAAGATCGGACTGTCGGTGGCCATACTGGTACTTCTCGTCTTAATGATCCGCTACTTCACTGGAAACACCCAAGACGAGGCCGGACGAAGAGAATTCACCAGCGGGAAGACCAAGTCGGGGGACGTGATGGATGCGGTTGTGCGCATAGTTGCCGCAGCGGTGACCATCGTGGTGGTGGCTATACCTGAGGGCTTGCCTTTGGCCGTCACTTTGACGCTGGCCTACTCTATGAAGCGCATGATGAATGACAACGCCATGGTCCGGAAGCTGTCTGCCTGTGAAACCATGGGTTCTGCCACAACGATCTGCACGGATAAAACCGGGACTCTCACGTTAAACGAGATGAGGGTGACGGAGTTATGGATGGGGAAAGAACATGTGAGTGTAGATGCATCCAGAGAAATAGCTCCCAGCATCCTTGAAGTCCTACTGCAAGGAATCGGAATGAACACGACAGGTACTGTGCACATGCGACCTTCTGCATCTGTTCCTGAAATTTTAGGCAGCCCGACTGAGAAGGCGATACTTTCTTGGGGTGTGTCCAAGTTGGGTATGAAGATGGATGAACTGAAGCAAGAATGGGAGATAATCCAAGTCGAGGCGTTCAATTCCGAGAAAAAGAGAAGCGGGGTTGCTGTGAGGAGGAGTGGAGAGCAGGTCGTTCACATACACTGGAAGGGGGCTGCTGAGATGATCTTGGCATTGTGTTCAGATTATTATAGCCAAAGAGGGACGGTGAATGTCATGACTGATGAAGCAAGGTCTGAGTTCGGGACAATCATAAAAAATATGGCAGGCAAAAGCCTGCGCTGCATCGCATTCGCCTACAAAAAGTTCAATGGCTCACTTGCTCAAGTTCATGCGAGACTCGAGGAAGATGGACTTACATTGTTGGGGATAATAGGGATTAAGGACCCATGCAGACCAGGCGTGAGAAGGGCAGTGGTGTCTTGTAAATGCGCCGGGGTAAACATCAAGATGATCACGGGAGACAACGTGCACACTGCAAGAGCTATAGCCTTGGAATGTGGGATTTTCAATCCTGACGAAGATCTCGAACACGAAGCCATAGTAGAGGGCGTTCAGTTTCGCAACTACTCGCCTGAACAGAGAATGGCAGCAATCGAGAAAATCCGGGTAATGGCTAGATCATCCCCATTTGATAAGCTTTTGATGGTGCAGTCTTTGAAGCAGAAAGGGCATGTGGTGGCAGTCACTGGCGATGGCACGAATGACGCGCCAGCCCTAAAAGAAGCGGATATCGGTCTCTCCATGGGCATCCAAGGCACTGAGGTGGCAAAGGAGAGCTCAGACATCGTCATCCTGGATGATAATTTCGCCTCAGTGGCGACTGTGCTGAGGTGGGGGCGGTGTGTCTACAACAACATTCAAAAGTTCATCCAGTTTCAGCTCACTGTGAATGTGGCTGCCCTCGTCATCAACTTCGTTGCTGCAGTCTCTGCTGGCGATGTCCCTTTGACAGCGGTCCAGCTTCTTTGGGTGAACTTGATTATGGATACCCTTGGAGCTTTGGCATTGGCGACAGAGCAACCCACAAATGATCTCATGCTAAAGACGCCTGTTGGACGAACCGAGCCGCTTATAAGCAGAGTCATGTGGAGGAATCTCGTATCTCAGGCCTTGTACCAAGTTATCGTCCTCCTGACCCTACAATTCAAGGGGAGTTCAATTTTTGGAGTGGACAAGAAAGTGAAGAACACAATTATTTTCAACTGCTTTGTCCTCTGCCAGGTCTTCAACGAATTTAACGCCAGGAAGCTGGAGGAAAAAAATGTATTCAAAGGGATCCATAAGAACAAGTTGTTCTTGGGCATCATTAGCATGACGATAATCCTTCAGGTGGTGATGGTTGAGTTTCTGAAGAGGTTTGCCAACACTGAGAGGCTGGACTGGGGACAATGGGGTGCTTGCATAGGACTCGCATCTTTGTCTTGGCCAATTGGTTGGCTTGTTAAGTGCATTCCAGTCTCAGGCAAAAACTTGTGGTTTTCCCGCAGAGAAGAAGCGTCCTGAACCGAGCAAAATGTTAAACTCCTGGAAAATAATATTTTCTTTTATTTATATTTCAGCTGATAAAAATGGTTAGGGCTTAGGAAACTGTTTTTTAAATTCTATCTTTTAAGCATGGTAAGTACCTTCCTAGATGATGTCTCAATTTACCTTTGGCTACAAAATCATATCAACAGTTTATTGTCATCCATAATTTCAACCTTAGGACTTTGGTCTTGCTGCTATGCTACTGTTCAGTTTGGATAATCTTGCAGATGAGGTTATTAATAAGGTGATCATGCTATATGCCTGCTTTAACATTCATCTCTGAACTAGCATTCAAAAAGTTATTCTACAGGAAAACTAGAGAAACAATTAGCTAGTTCCTACCAAGCTTCGTAAAGGGGCAGTAAAAACCCAAAAACTTATGCCTCAAGTTCATGCAAGGGTTGCCTTTTTTCGGTTCTTTTCTCACATCATCTCTCTCCTTTACCATATTAACAAGAAGGACATGGACCCATGCAACGAACAAATATTATTTGATGCAAATGGCGAGGGACAAATCAAGTTAGTTATAGTGAACACAACTTCAAATCCTTAAGATTGCTGGCTTCCAACTAAAGTAGAGATGCTATCATCTTTTCCTCATGACTTCTTTAGATATCTTCAACTACATTCCCCATATCCTAGAAAAGCATGACCAAATATTCGAGCAAACAACTTGAAGGAAAAGGTTGATAGAAGCAATAAAGCACATCTTTACATGATGGAGCCTGATTTGCATAGATAAGATAAAGATTTTAATGAAAATGTCACATCTTTAGAGGCTAAGGATTTGTCTCTGCAAAACATAAGATGGCCGTAGCTGTCTTGTAAGTGCATAAATCTGATTTCCTACAAGCAGCAAAACAGCACCACTTCGAAAAACGAAAAAAATAAAATGACATGATTGTTTGGATGGAAGGAAGAAAAGAAATTTTCATAGGAGGATCCCGAGTTGACAACCCAATTCACCTATCATTGTGAATAACTGGCTTTAATCAAACATCACAACTCGTCTGCACATATCTCGGGATCAATTTTTCACCTCACTCCGTGGCAAAACCCTCACAGATTATATTTGACTCATATGACCATGTTGACAAAGTGATAACAAGACTCACAAAAAGAAGCTTACACAAGCAAATCGATTTGTAATACTTCATACCTAAGCACGATCAATACTAGCTGATTCTTTCCACGTCACAAACGCAACAACCAAAAGAAGTCAATCTACTAAACAAAGAGTTCGGTTGACGAGTGGAAAACAAACTTCCAACCCTGATCTGTCCTGGCCAGCATGAGGGCAAGGCAATGAGGCATTGCCAATGTGAAATACAATAGTCAAATTCTTGTATGCTTAACTCATTTAGACTACCTTAGAAATGTCTTATTAGCTTCTTCTCAATGCATACATTCAATTCACTTTCCCATAAAAACAAAGGTTTCTCAGATCGCCGGAGTACTTTAACTTCATTCATTCCCACAATTTCTCAGCAACATAGTACAAGTAAAGTAATCAAACAGTAGTACTTCCATGAATAAACAAATGGGGCAACCAAAAGAAAAGACCACGAAAAAAAAAACACTTGCGTTTATAAAAGAACAGAGCCAAGACAACACATGTCCCGATTACCCGTTAAAAAGTAAAAATTTAAAATTTTCAACGATGAATGTCAATGTGGGGCTTCACAAGGCAATGAGGCATTGCCAAGGTGAAATACAGTAGTCAAATTCTGGTATGTTTAACTCATTTGGACTACCTTAGAAATGTCTTATTAGCTTCTTCTCAATGCATACATTCAATTCACTTTCCCAGAGAAAGAGGGTTTCTCAGATTGCCGGAGTACTTTAAGTCCATTCATTCCCAGAATTTCTCAGCAACATAGTACATGTAAAGTAAACAGACAGTAGTACTTCCATGAATAAACAAATGGGGCAACCAAAAAAGAGACCAAGAAAACAAAAAACTTGAGTTTATAAAAGAACAGAGCCAAGACAACACATGTTCCGATTACCCTTCAAAACTAAAATTTAAAATTTCCAGCGATGAATGTCAATGTGGGGCTCCATTATTAAATTGACCAGACTCCACTGATTTGAGCTTCTATCCGGTCATTATCTCTCGTACCAACCAACAAGCACAAAGAGGGGGTGGGGGGGAAGAGAGAGAGAGAGAGAGAGAGAGAGAGTGAGAGAACCCAAGTCGTTTTCTAGGACAATGACATCGGAAGACAAAACAAAAAAAAAGCAAGAACCCAACTCGTCTTCTAAATCAATAAACATCGGAGGACGAAAAGGAATCAAAATTTGTCCAAATTCGCGGACAACAAGCAAGCCGTACGTACCATTAGAGACAGAGAGATGCTGACCTTTCTCCCTCTCTTCTCTGTCAAAGGTGCGTGGTTCTGGCTTTCGGGGTTGGCGAGAGGGACCCCCAACTGGTTCCTTTTCCGCCTTTTTTTCTAGTTGTGCTTGGTGGAGCTGAAGCGGCGTCTGCGCTTTCCATGAAAATTTTTCTTCTTCGAACAAAATGGGTTTCCAAGAGAGAATGGCCCTTGGGCCATTGATTAACTTGGGCTGTGAGCATCGGGCTTTCAGGATTTGGCCGATGAAGACGTGGTACTGACGGTGGACGATTGACCGGTTTGGGCTTGCGGGCACGTGCCCCAGCCCCCTCCAAAAAAAAATTGTAGAACAAGATGGTGATGGAACCGAAGAATGGAATAGAATAGAATAAAATGGAATGAGATAATCGAATTCCTATGTTGGATCGTGACGGAAATCACCATTTGATCCCATCCCCAAGGCAGCCACGGATAATAAAGCTCACAATGACAGTGAGATTCGATAATAGTATCGATGTTGCTTAATTCGCCATCATCAATCACTTGAGAGAGGATCTGATCGTTGAACGTGTTGGGTAGAGTATCTCGCCTGAAAATCCCTGTTCAAGTTCTTTCAAGATTGAGAAAGCATCGAATTTTCTTTGTATAAAATAACCGGATTCGAGTGAGATTAACTAGACAGGTGCGGTCCAAGAAAAAAAGCCGATTGCCTAGAGGCCTTGATTTATCTTTTGGCCTCCCTAGAATAAACAAAATTGCCCATATATGATGCGAGACTCGATCATTCAAGAAAAAGCTTAGTTGATTAGTTTCGCAAACATGGTCTTGAATTTTAGTATATTTATTTGCTTTTTTGGAATTATCCCCTCCTAGGAGTCACTTTATGTTTTGTCTGGAATAACAGGCTAACACCATGGTCATATTCTCCATCACAATGATTGCCTCTCGAATTCATCCCTTCTGGCCAGAGTTTTGCAATTAATCAAAGTAGGCGATCGAGAAATTGGCGATTATTTTCAAGAAATTAAACTCTTGATGAAGGAAAGTTTGGCTCCCATATCTCTTCGACGGATTCTGGCGGTGAAAAGTTTGGTGTTTAAGACTTGGACCCTCCAATGAACTCATGTTGAAAGCCTTGACTTTGGAGTTTGTCTCACTATTGTGTTTTGAGAAAGTTAGAATGTTCTAAAGGACAAATCTTTTAGGTGATCAAGCACGAACTTTTCATTTATTCAAATCAATCATTAAGTGTCGAGATTACGAATTTCTTTACTCTTCTTTTTAAAAAAAAAAATCTTTGCAAGAATTGTATTGCTTCTCTCTCGGAAGTTGATTTAGGTGGATACAACGTTGTAATCCGAGAACATCCCAAAATCTTTCTTTCTTTCATCATGGTCGGCACAATTTGCACGATTTTCATTCTCATAACACGTCTCTTCATACCTTCCTTTTGTTGAAATTTTTATGTCCTTTTGACCTTAGGCAGCATGTAACTTTCCCTGTGTTCGTCTCTTTCAAAATCTAAAAGTGCGATGGATTTGCCATCATTAATGGAGAATTGTTTGCCATATGTTCGACAGAGACCAACCATCTTCGTGGGATTTAATAGTTTCAAGATCTGACATTCGAGCAGTTTTTTAAAACTAGCTTCATATATGCATTGAATCCAAGATTTGTAGGATGGCTCAGGTCAATTGACAAACTAAAGGAGAGAGAAAATAGGAGACCTTGAAAACTAAATTTATCTCTCAATGAAGAAACTGCATCAAGTTAAGGCTAAATCTACTTAGACAGACTGTTCAGTGTATGGAATACGAAAGTGCGGGATAGGAAAGAAAGATATAGAGAGTCAAATTCATTTGTTGTTGATCTGTCTAGTGGAAGAGGATTGCTTCCACAACAAAACAAGGCCACTCCAAAATTAAGACAAAGCTCCTTACTTAAAAGCATTAAGATTTCTTGTGCATTTTCACATTACTCACAACCATGCCACTATATTCCCACATAAAAACAGAAGCAACTTTAGGTGTTTTTGTAGGGCAAAGTGCCATAAATGGCATGTAACAAACCATGTGAACCGGTCACCTACCAAAGTGTGTTCCTTTTTTGCACACAACGAGGACAAAAACAGAAAAGGGCTTGTGAGAGTGTGTGTGGGAGTGGTTAGAAACAGATGATAATCATTCATCATCATGTGAAAAGGAGACAAAAGAGAACGGAGCTATGTGGAGTCCGAGTCCAATCCGAGCTTCCAGACAAAAGGAAGTGAGGCAAAACCCCAACAAACCCCCATGCAAAAGAGTCAACCCAATCTTCAGTTTCAATTTGGTGCGCAAGTGGTCTTCCCTTTTGTAGTAATTCCAACTCATAGACCAACCCACCAACACAAACAGAAGCACTCGCCATTTAAACAGTCAGAGATAGAGAGAGTATTCACACATAATTGAGAACAATGTATCAGTAATGATATTACAAAGAGAGTCTACTGCAACTTTTTTCTCTAGTGCTGCAAAATAAACTTAAATGAAGATGCACAAACAATTGGTAAGCTTGAAAATATGATGCCTCTTGTTATATGAAATTTATATAACAAAAATCCGGATACATAGTTCGATTTTCAAAAGCCAGTTAATTGATGTTTTTTGGCAAGATGCACTGCTACATAATCTTTTTATTTCATGATCATCCTATCAAAGTTATTATGTGAAACTTATGAATTGTTGAAGGGGCCAATCAATCTATGAACTTTCTTATGAGAACAGCATTTGTATAGTTAATATGACCTCATAACATTATTAACTGTGCCGGAACAAGCGACGGTAAACCCATATTGAGATCTCTGAGAAATTAAGGAAGTGCATGGAAGACTTTGGTGAAAATGATAGTTCTCTTATGGTCAAAAGTTTGAATTTTCGAACTTTAGGACGCATAAAGTAAATCATTTTGTTGCTGCTTTAACCTAGGAATTGTACAGTACCGATACAGTGTGACAGCAAAATGAACATATCAAGCAACATAAGATGTATAATGCGCTTGAATATCATGCATTTGACCCTAGAAAATGTCTCCTACTCCTCGCCCTTATTTCTTTTTTGCCTTCGCTTATAATAGCGTATTGAGCATGTTAAGAAAAGGAACTGACCTAAGCCTAAGTCACACAAGCTATGTAGTATGTCTTTCTACACCATTCACTTCCATCACCGTCTAGACGAGTAGTTTTGAAATTAGAGAATGCAAAAGTGTAACTAATGGTTCTTGTAGTTTTCTTTAATATTTTTTTGGCTCGTTCATTTGATGGAAATATTGTTCCCTTCTTATATTCGTTTTGGATACATAACCAATCACATGCAAACATTGACGGGCTTCCATGGATGAGAAACTCGTGCACTGGGAATACACACCAAATTCTTGTTTGATGACAGCTTAACAATGGATGCTGTGACTAGTTAGGTGATTTAACCGATTTGATGAACTTTATTTCCCTTTTTCAAAGGAAACTTCACTCACATCGAGTTTTCTTCTAGCCCAATAGAGATGGGGAAGGGCAAACCGACGTCCAATTGCATTACCATTAAGATCTCGCATCTACTGTGGAATGTTCAGAATTAGGATTGTGGAGAGGTCGTATACCCAGCACTACTAGCAATCCATTGCACTAGCAAACCAAGATACATGAACTGCTATGACCCCACCACTGCATTCAGATATATTAGTCCGTATCCATACGCCACCGGTCATTCCTTACTTCAAGTTGTGATGATATGAAGTACATATAGATCGGTCACGTTCTACCAGATCTATAAAGGTATGCATTCCAAACAGATCAGACGGATTTTGTTTTCTTTCACCTTCCTATTCTTTGGTCTGGTCATAAAAACAATTCGCTGTTCCTCGTGATAGTTGACTTGTTCAAGTTTCTTAAATCTTGTCGTGTGTGTGTGTTTGTGTGTGTGTGTGTGTGAGAGAGAGAGAGAGAGAGAGAGAGAGAGAGAGAGAGAGAAGTGGTCCAAGTTTACTCAATTGAAGCATCAGTGAATATACAACGAGTCTATATTGGAGGCATTACAAGGGTAGGATGACTCAAAATGAATTTGGCGTTCGGATCCATCACTCTGACTATTACAGAAGAAAAAAAAAACGAGCATAAATACTCCAACAAAGAAGAAATAGAAGATGGTGATTAGTTCATGCCCTGCTGATTTAATATCTCAGCCACAATGAATTTCGTAACATAATCGCAATAGATCTACAACTTCAACAAGAAAATTCCACCTTGTGCAAACACTTAGCTGGAAAAAAGTAGAACCTATAAAACGGTTCGAAAAATTCACAACCCCCATGACAATCAGCCATATACCTTGTAAAGGCATCATCTCAAATCTAGCTACACCAATCGTCGGAACAAGCAAAACTTGTAAAATAAAACCCTGAGAAGAAACCCTGCTATATCATGATCTTCATGTATAAATGCGCGAGTTGCTGCAACACAAAACTAACGGATTTGCTCATGTCAATTATTATGGCTATGAGCGACATAGGCTTATACAGAGCCGGTTGGACATGTATCGCTGCTTCTCTAGTCAGTAAGGAGGAAACTTTCTTGTCGCACCTGACTGCAAAAGACCACTGCATTCAAGATGAATGTGAAACCCTTTTTAAACAAGCCGATATTCATCAGCCGAACCTGCAAAATGCACAATTTGTGCATAATTTGTTCCCAGGGTAAGTGAGAAACAATAAAACACAATAAACTACAAAAGAAAAGGCGAGAAAAAAAAGGAGTGGAACTTTTAAGAATGTTGATAGTATGTAGTTGAGATTAATACATACAAAACAGAACAAAAGGGGAAGTACAAGACCTTATCTCAAGAGGGGTCCTTGAAATTGTGAACGGCTAGATCAATGTGAAGATCAGAGAAAAAGTAGGGTTTTTCTTTTCGGTTTTGAGATTTCTCATGCTTCCAGCAACAGTTGAAACTGCCAGATGATCTGACAGCTTCTTCCATTGAAAGCTCAGATCATGCTGGCAGCTTCAGCAGTTAGTGGTGCATGATGATGATGATGATGATGATGAGTGAACTAAAAGCAAAACTGTCTGCTTCAAGAACTGGTGTTTTTCTGGGAATTGGATCTCTCTCTGTGTTTTTCTCTCCTTGTTTTCTTGGGGGATCTGTTTTTCTCATCTTGGGTACCCTATGTGAAATGTGAAGGCTGTTCATGGAGAAGAGAGGGTTTTCTGAGAGCTATAAATAGACAGAGAGAGATAGAGAGAGAGAGAGAGAGAGAGAGAGAGAGAGAGAGAGAGAGAGAGAGAGAGAGAGAGAGAGAGAGAGTTTCCTGCTTCAGAATTCAGATCGATACACTTTTACTAGTTCCACGACTCTCTCTCTCTCTTCACTTTTGTCCCCACGTGATGACAGATACAGACGGCGATCTTGTTTAGTATTTTCTTTGGAAATTAGGATGAAATACACAAAGTCGTAAATAGGGGCAAGAAAGTTCTGTGGAAAAATGGAGCCATGAGAATTAGGACATGTAATATTTGATTTAATGATAAAGACTAATTAGACAATAATATATTTAGGGTCTGCATATGGCATAGCTCATTACTTATCTGTGCAACGTAGACTTAATTTCACTGTACTTCTAATTTGTGTTCTCTACTCTTATTTTTGCAAGATCAAAGTACTTCGAACCTATACAGGACAAATTTTCAGCAGGTATTCGCCTAACACCTTATAAAAGTTGGAATACGCGTTTGGATGGCCCTGTTTTCTACGAGGAAGTCCCACCAAATACGTGTGGTCCTACTAGTGTGATTAGAAGAGCAGGTAGCATCTGGAGATAGCAAACTAGTGACAAGAGATTAAATAGGTCGCCAGCGAGAGCCTTGGGATATGGGAAAGAAAAGAGAGGCAATTGTTGTTGTGGTCCAAAAGGAGACAAATTGAATATTGTCACGCCCACGCCACCACATGCTGACATTGGTTTTCGTTGAGTGTTTCTAAACTGCCAATTTGAGGCCCTTTATGTGTTTTTTTTTAACTTGGCCTTTCATCTTGATGGCGACCGCCCCTTCACCTCGCTCTCTCTCTCTCTCTCTCTCTCTCTCTCTCTCTCTCCAGTTTGTGTGTTTGGTAGGCATCAACTGTGTTGTCCAAAAAGAGCAAAAAACAGAGCATTCGGGGGACCATTTGCATGCATTTCTTAGGAGGTAATGCACAAGGTTCACATAAAAAAAATGCCAAACGGAAAGAAAAACTCTCTCTCTCTCCCTCTCTCTCTCTCTCGATGAGTACATGTACTCCCGGAGATGAAAAGAGTCGACATAATAAAGATTAAGTGAATTTTCAATAAATTTAGGGTCCATTTGTTTAAAGAAAAACTGTTTTTGGAAAAATTATTTTTCGACTTTCCGGTATTTGGATGACGAAAAATTCATCGATCTACTGAAAAACGTTTTTTATGGATTGAAAATAATAAACTTAGATTGAGGAAAAACAACTACTCCTTCTAGCAAGAAAGAAATCACTTTCCCTAAACCACTAAACAAATAAAAACTAACAAGTTTCCTTGAAAATCTATTTCCTTGAAAATGATTTCCATGGAAAATATTTTCCTTTGTCTTGAAGTTTTCAGTGAAACAAATGCACTGAAAGTGGATCATTTTCAAGCACTCAATAATGATATGCCGCGTCGCTATTTGTAAATCAAACTTGTAAGCTAGTCTCCTTTTCCACACACACACACACACACACACACATGGGATAATGATACAAATGGTCCTTGAATTTGGCCTATGAACTTTTAATTTATACAATGTGGTCCTTGAACTTTGGCCTAATGTGCAATGTGGTTCATGAATTTTTAACTTGTTCAATGTGATCCCTGTACTTTTTATACATGTTCAACTTAATCCTTGAATTATATGAAAGTGTTTAATGTTGTCAGGGATAACATTGAACATTTTCATATAGTTCAGTTACTAAATTGAACATGTACCAAAAATCTAGAGATTACATTGAGTAAATTAAAAGTTAATGGACCTTATTGCACATTGGGTTATAATTCACGGACTGCATTGAACATATTAAAAATTTAGAGACCACGTTGCACATTAGGCCAAAGTCTATTAATCATTTGTGTCATTTTTCCCATATATATCTTAGTCGACCAAGGATGGTGCAAGAAACCATGTGGACCATACACGAGCATTCACTTTCCCACCGCTGTAATCGAAACCTAAATTCCCCGCTTCCTGAATGGCAATCCTACAATCAAAAAAGCCATCTTGCACTTGTTTACATCCACAGGGGCCGAGGCGTGTAGTTCACTGAACATTTCTTTATATCCGTACTTTCAATTTTGTTAGGTGAAAAGGAACTTCCTCAAAGGCTTGATTGGTTTTCCAATCATTCGATTAAACAAATAAATCTCCTTTTCGAGGCCAAAACCCGGTGGTCTAGAGCGGTTTTGATGAAAGCGCTCCAAAGGGAGGGTGGCCCCAAAGAACAAGTTGATGCATGGCACTTGGAACAAAATGATGCAAGTTCAGTTGATAGTTACATGTTGATTTCTTAGTGTTATCTTAAGCAATGAACTTAACCCAGTGACCAATCTGGTTGGAGAAACGCGAAATGCTTATTCGACCATATTGGCCTTAGTTTAATCCACGTGCCTTGACTATTTTCGGCCACTTCCTTGCTTTCCAATGTGCATTCCTCAAGTGGCAGAGCGTCGTTGGCCCGACGGTTCGTGTAGGTGATTAGATTCATGCCATGATTTTGAACCATGTTGGGCACGTCTTTATCAAGCGAAGGCCAAATCGGAACTCCCTTTTGGCTACTAATATTCTTCACTCGAATGCAAAACAAGTTACGGCCCAAAAGTCCATCGATTCTCAAGCGAAAGGCAAGCTAAAGGTAGCTAGTGACCCTTTGTTTTATGCTTCTAGAGACGGAATATTCAAGCTTCGACAATCATCTCGGGTGTAAGTCTATTTTCAGAGACGACTGGTTATCTACTAGGGGGTAACGTTTTCGAGACGGCTGATTGTCCATCGGATGAGATCGAACCTAAGAGATTCTCTCCTCCAACCTTATCGATTATTCCATCCGCCAACTAGTATTATAGACCATGTTTGCTGAGCATTATGCCTGGCATACAATTTCTCGATGGCTTACAGGACAAATGATTTTCTAAATGAAGTGATATTAATATAAAAAAAACATTAACTCTTTTGTGTTATGGACCAACTTCTTTCCCTAACTGTGATCTTTTTTGCCGACGAGTAACCCGCAATAAAGTCAACAGACAATAAAGAGAAAGCCGATGCGAGCGGAACAAATAAGTGGAAATTTGGGAAAAAAAAATCCTTTTCACGAGATGTTTGTGTTCTATGTAATTATGTCTTGACCTACTTATAGAAATTGAATTATGAAATTGTGTTGGGTGTTGTCCTCGAAAAAAGTATTCTTTTCTTTTTCCAAAGGTGAATAGAAAACTCAAATGTATATTGCATGCTTTTACAAAAGGTGTCTTCTTTATTTGAGTCATGTTCCCTAGGTCCACTGCGTATCCACGGGGAAATATAATTAAGACATAATCCACATTAATATTAGCTAGGTTGGCTCTTTTCCATCATGTCTCATGATGTAAGATGAGCCAATCGCGTGTGGCCATGTCAATGATGCTCTATAATTGGAGCCATGTGTCCCAGTTGGCATTGGTCATTTTAGATTGCATTTCATATCAAATGAGCCTCAAAACTCAATCAAGTGATGGCCAGCTTTTGCATTATCTATCCACCCACAAAAACAGAGATCTGTAATTGATGCTGAGTAAGCCGGTAATGGACATTTAAGTTATCCAAATCCATGGACTTAAAAAGAAATTTTGGTGACATAATCAAGCTCAACTCGGCCCATTCAAGCCAACATATATTATGGCTAGGTGGGTCTTTCTCATGTACAACCCAAAATGGTAAATCAATAGGTGGAGGGCTGCACATGCGAAATAAATTGGGGTAAAGTTGGGATAAGTGCATTGGAAGTCCTACAATTTGTAACGAAAGTGCAATTAAGTCCTAAAACTTTCAAAAAGTGTAATTTATTCCTAAAACTTGTCACGTAAGTGTACTCGAGCCTAAAAACTTTCAAAAAGTGCAATCAAATGGAAAGATTTGATTGGACCAATTTGACAAGTTATAGGACTTGATTGTACTTTTTAAAAGTTTTAGGACTCGATTGCACTTTCGCGACAAATTTTAGGACTTGATTACACTTTTTGAAAGTTTGACTCAATTGCACTTTTGCGATAAGCTTTAGGATTTCGAGTATACTTATCCATATAAAGTTTAACCCAAAAGAGTATGCCAATAGGTGAAGGAAGACTATGGGTGCGCTTGGAAGAGCATTTGGGAAAAGCTTTTGAGGAAAGGAGTTTCACAATATGCAAATGGTATTTGGTAAACACTTTTCTACAGACTTTCAAATCCAATTTTGAAAGTAATTTTTTTGAAAAAAAATTGAAAAAAGAAGAAAGAGACTAGATGCTCACCCGAGAGCCGTGGATCATTAGACCCAGATTAGGTGCCGTGCCAAGCTCGTGCGACCTTGAGCCTCAAAGGTCACGTGACGTCGACGATGATGCCACCCTAAGGTTGCGACACCTTGGCCCTCACCTGAGGTTGTGGCGCCAAATCTGGCTTGCTGGCGCTAGATTTAGGCTCACTGGCAACATTGCTATTGCCGGTCAGACATACACAGTAAAGTAGTTGAGAGCAAAATTGTAATTTAGATATTTAGGCGAGGCAAAGTTAGAAGAAAAAAATTCCTTATTCCCTGAACAGCAATCCGAAAATGCTCAAAGCCAATGTCGGTTGGGATTTGCATTGCGCTAAGGGATTTTGAAAATGCTAGTTTTGGCTCAAAGACTTTTGTAATTATGTTGCCAATAATGCCAAACACCTCAACTTTGGTATTAATACATTTAAAAGTTCATTAAAGAAAAAAATCACTGTGCTCGTGACATACTGGGTGATGCAATCCTGACCAACAATCTAACCCGGTAGAGCTCTTGCTCCTATAAAAATGCATGAAGTCTGATGATCACGAGACCAGAAAGTACAGCAAGTAGCACAAGAATGTATCATCTGAAAATGGCCGGGCTTCGGATTCCTCGAGTGAAACTCGGAACGCAGGGTCTTGAGGTTTGCATCGAGACTACTTCTTTATTCGTCATGTTTTAATGGTGTTACATACAAAATCGAAATTTTGTCACATCGTTTCATTGTTTGTGGTTGATTATATTCTCGTGGATTCGTATAAGCTGCTCAATGCTGAAATGTATGAGGTTTCGTTTATGTTTCTTCTTCTTCTGTTTTGGAATAATTGCAGGTTTCGGAGTTGGGTTTTGGCTGCATGGGACTCACGGGTAATCGCAATGATCCTGTCCCGGAGGAAGCCGGAATATCGATCATCACCGTTGCATTTGCCAAGGGGATAACATTCTTCAACACGTCAGATATATATGGACCCGAAATAAATGAGATTATTGTCGGAAAGGTAATGTGAAAAAACCGAAACACACAAAACCGGCAATTTGGTCTTTTAGCTGATCATTTTACTTACTTGGTTATTAGAAACACTTTGTGATATCATTATTGCAGGCATTGAAGAAGTTGCCGCGGGAGGAGGTACAGTTAGCTACCAAATTCGGTGCGGTGAAAATTGAAGCGGACAGTGTTGTGATCAAGGGGACGCCTGGATACGTCCGCTCGTGCTGTGAGTTGAGCCTCGAGCGCCTTGGTGTTGAATACATTGACCTCTATCACGTGCATCGGATCGACACGTCAGTCCCTATAGAGGAAACCGCAAGTTTGTTTTGCTGCTCTTCTTGTTCGTGATAATTGCCGATTCGCTTTAGCGATCAGAAATTAATAAAGCCGAATGGTTCAAAAAACCACAGATGGAGGAACTTAAGAAGTTGGTGGAAGAGGGAAAAGTGAAGTACATCGGCTTGTCGGAGGCTAGCCCCGACACCATACGGAAAGCGCACTTGGTTCATCCCATCATGGCCTTACAGATGGAGTGGTCGCTCTGGACTCGTGACATCGAGCAAGAAATTATCCCGCTCTGCAGGTACATTGCTGTTCACTGCCATCATAGTAGACTTCGAATCCTTAGCGAAGTTGTTCTCCAAAAAAGAGCCTTTTCCCTTTGTACGTTGTTTTCATTTAATCTTTCGGCCTGCCTCTCGAAATTTTCAGGGAGCTCGGAATCGGCATTGTTCCGTATAGCCCTCGCGGTCGTGGGTTCTTCGGTGGCAGGGGAGTCACAGCAACTGTGCCTGCAAATAGTTCTCTGGTATGTTAACAGTTAAATGGGCTCTTCTTTCTTGAATGTTTCAAATTCATATGCACGATGGTCGAAAAGCTTCTTCACTATTGCTCGCAAATTTTTTTCTTCATTTCTTAGGTAAGACATCCTAGGTTTCAAGCAGAGACTATGGTCAAAAACAAGATTCTTTACTTTCGAATCGAGAAGTTAGCGAAAAAGCACAATTGCACCCTTGTACAGCTTGCACTCGCATGGGTTCTCCATCAAGGAGATGATGTTGTGCCTATCCCTGGTCAGAATCTAATCTTATGACATTCATTAACAGATAACATGGGATTGGGATTTCTGTTCTGAAATTATGAGGTTTCCGCAGGAACGACGAAGATTAAGAATCTCGGTGATAACATTGGTTCCTTGGGAGTGAAGCTTACAGAGGAAGACGTGAAAGAGATCTCGGATGCTGTACCGATCGAGGATGTTGCTGGCGACAGGAACAATGAGCACTTTGTTCGCTGCTCGTGGAAGTATGCGAACACGTCCCCAAGAGATGGGAAATTATCAGATTATTAGACTTCTTTCGAATGTGTTGATAGAGTTTGTCTGGTTCTGATGCTCTCTTTTGCTCCTTGTAACTGAGTTCAGAAAATGAAACTCAGAATAGCTTAATAAAAGATAAAACCAAACCAGGCAGTTCTGAGTTAATAGCTTCTTTTGTGCTCATGAAGCATTTGTTCGTTGGTTATTCTTCTCTGTTAAAGGAGTGATCCATCTCCTTGACCTCCTCCACTTCTGCTGCACGAACTCTCAAAGTCCCACTCTCGTCGTAACACCATTGCACTACTCAATAGAATTTCCCTACCTTGCCTCTCTTGCTCCTTCGCTTGATCCCTTACCAAAGTCTTGTTTCACACACGTATACACACTTGCACCCACTCAACAAAAACCAGCAGTAGTATCTTCTGCAACCCAACATTAGTATCAAACCAAAATCCAACAATTAGTATCAAAGCTATAGGTTCATTCGGTTGTTTTTGGGCATTTGTCCTGACCACCGTCTACTAAAGCCAGAGCCAGAGTCTCATTCGGTTGGTATTGGGCATTTGTCCTAATCAACTTCTACTAAATCACCCAACTACATTTCCAAGACACTAAAACTATGTCCGACGTTTCCTTACGAAAATTACCCATCTCTACTTTTGATGGGAATAACTATGACTATACATACGGGACATCGTGGAAAAAAGATAAACGGCTTCGAAATAAGTTGCGAGTGTTTTAGTAGAGCAACTGTAAAAGGACGCAAGGGCTCTTACAGTGATACCGCGAAAAAGGCAAGGGACAAACTATTCAAGGAGATAGATTCTTTGAATTTACGAAATATTGAACTGGACATAGAAACATGAACAGTCAATATGCATGCATGTAGGACATACAAATTTGGTTTAATTACTAATAGCTTCATCAACACACTCAAAAGGAGTCTAATAAGCCGACGGTTTGCCATCTCTCACGGGCGTGTTCGCGTACTTCCACGAGGAGCGGACATTGTGCTCACTGTTCCTGTTGCCAGCAACGTCCTCAATCGGTACGGCATCCGAGATCTCTTTCACGTCATCCTCCGTAAGCTTCACACTCAAGGAACCAATGTTACCATGGAGATTCTTAATTTTCGTCGTTCCTGCAAGAAACCGCACGATTTCAAAACAGAAATCCCAATTCATGTCATCTGTCAATGAATGTCATAAAAGTTCGATCCTCACCAGGGATGGGCACAACATCATCTCCTTGATGGAGAACCCACGCGAGTGCAAGCTGTATAGGGCTGCAACTGTGCTTTTTCGCTAACTTCTCCATTCGTGCGTAAAGAACCTTGTTTTTGTCCAAATTCCCTGCTTCAAACCTAGGAAAATTTCTCTGAGAAATGAGTAGAAAAATTAGCGACGATTAGCGAAGAAGCTTTTAGACCATCGAGTATATGAATGTGAAACATCAAAGAAAGATGTGCCCATTTAACTATTAACATACCAGAAAACTATTTGCGGGCACAGTTTCTGTGACTCCCCTGCCACCGAAGAACCCACTACCGAGAGGGCAATACGGAACGATGCCGATTCCTAGCTCCCTGAAAATTTCGGGAGGCGGGCCAAAAGATTCAAAAAGAAAACAGCGTACAAAGTCAAAACGGTTGTTTTTTGGAGGACAACATGGGAAAGAATTTTGAAGTCTCCTCCGATGGAGTTGAACAGCAATATACCTGCAGAGCGGGACGATTTCTTGCTCGATTTCGCGAGTCCAGAGCGACCACTCCATCTGTAAGGCCGTGATGGGATGAACCGCGTGCGCTCTCCGTATGGTGTCGGGGCTAGCCTCCGACAAGCCGATGTACTTGATTTTTCCCTCTTCCACCAACTTCTTCAGTTCTCCCATCTGCGTTTTTTCAAAACCGTTTGGTTTTATTAATTTTCGATCACTAAAGACCTTTCAGAGCATCGGCAATCATCCTCAAACAGGAAGACCTGTTAAACGAACTTACAGTTTCCTCTATCGGGACCGATGTGTCAATCCGATGCACGTAATAGAGGTCAATGTACTCGACGCCAAGGCGCTCGAGGCTCGACTCGCAACATGAGCGGACGTATTCAGGCGTCCCCTTGATCACGATGTCCGCTCCGAGTTTCATCACACCAAATTTGGTAGCTAGCTGCACCTCCTCCCGCGGCAACTTCTTCAATGCCTACGACGACGACATCACCAAGCTTTTCTAGTAACCATATAACTAAAATGTATCGGCTAAAGGATTATATTACAGGTTTTGGGTGTTTCGGTTTTTTCACATTACCTTTCCAACAAGAATCTCATTGATTTTGGGTCCATATATATCCGACGTGTCGAAGAATGTTATCCCCTGAGCGAACGCGTCGGTGATGATCGATATGCCTACTTCCTCCGGGACAGGATCATTGTACATACCCGTGAGTCCCATACAGCCAAAACCCAACTTCGAAACCTGCAATTATTCGAAAACATCAGAAGAAGAAGACACGAAATCTCATAAACTTCAGCATGAATCTGCCTAGATGAATCCACAAGAATTTAATCAACCACAAATTTAACGAAGTAAGAAGTAGTTTCAATACAAACCTCAAGACCCTGAGTTCCGAGTTTCACTCGCGGAATCCGAACCCCTTGATGCTCGGCCATCTTCAGATGATATCTTGAAGTTTACTTGCTGTATTTTCTGGTTTCATGATCGTTAAATTTCGGGCGTATTTATAGGAGTTTAAGGCGACAAAGGGAAATTTAGATTATTATCAGTCAAAATGCGATTGACCATGACCCATCACGTAAGCAGGGTTGCCAGCTCACATTAAAAAAAAAGAAAAAATCAGAAAAATTATTAAAATAATTACAGAAAAAATTATTCATGTCAACGCCTTTTGTGCTACGTAAGACGGTCTGCGTCTACGTTAATGATTTCCGATCAAAATTGGCCGGAAGAACTGTATTGACAAATTGTCAAAAGATTCGGGACTTACTTTAAAAATCATAAAGTTTAGAATTTTTTGGATAATTTTTCTCAACAATATCCTAGCAGGTGAAACGCATACATCAACAATCATGCATGTTCCAATTGGATTTATGCTCAACAATAAGGTTGATTTAGTTTATCTTCACATTTACCAAAATAAAATACTATAGTAGGTATCCTAGTTTGCACGTCATGTGTCATTTTCTTGGACTTTTATCTCATGTATAATTACTTGCTTCTCGATATGTATCGGGTGTGAGTGACGTCATAGAAACGCCTTGTGACATACTGGGTGACGCAAACCTTAGAGTATCCAACAAGAGGTGGAGACTGTTTGCGCATCTGCTTACGTTAATGAGTCACGGTCAAAACCATCTCTTGTTCCAATAAATTTTCGCCATATTGCAGCCATAGAGCCGTCTAGGATTAGGAAATCAATCTAATTAATAAGAATTATTATGTTTCACATGATATATTGTTTAAAATGTTACGGGCTACCCCCGTACCTGTTGAGTTATAATAATTTAATAATTATGTATATCGTGGCGTTGAAGATAGTTATAAAAGAAAACTGTTCACTTGATCTGCTTACGTAAATTTAATTCGAAAGCAAATTTACATTAATTTTTCGATTAAGAAGAAAGTGTTCGATGCAGTTCTCACTAAGCTTGAAAGGGCATTTAACCATTTATAAAATGTTTAACAACCACTTCGCAACTCCTCGTATAATGGCGGACTAAGGGAGCCAGTGATGGTCCCACGGGTCCGATAGCAAAAGATATTTATATTGTATACTTGAATTCTTCTTCTTTTAAATAACGTAATTAATAGTTCAGTTGCAAATTTTTGGTCCCACCTTGCCAAAACTAGAATTCTAGATTTGCATTTGGCCTTGCGAAATTTTTTTGGCAACTATTCCACCCTAATGTAATAGGGTGTTGAAGCTGTCCTCTATTGTAAGCAGATGCTCAAGAGTTATCTCCAGCATAGGTTCAAAACTTAGGTTTTGCATTACCCAATATGTCACAAGGCTTTTTTATGACATCGATTTTCTTTCGGAATAAGGCTAGAAATTTAATCATATAAATAGTTTCTTAGAATATGGACACTTATTCGTATAAGAACTTATGGGCTCCACTGGGACTAATTTCAGAAAAAAAAAAAGCTTTAACTTTACCTTGAGTGACAATTCTGGCCGGAACTTTTTTTTGTCTCATAAAAAATCATCAATTTTCACTTAAATTCCAAATCTGACTTGAACAATTTGAAAATTTTACATCACGGGGGCTAGATTTGGATCTCGATTAAAAGTTTGTGCTTTTTATTAAGACAAAAAAAATTTCCGATCAGAATTGTCACTTTAGGCAAAGTTGATGCTTACAGCTAAGGAAGATGGAGGCATATGGATTATGAATATGAAAGAGATTAAAAGCTTCTTTTTATCCAAGTATACGTAGCTTTTTTCCGGATTTTCAGTTGATCCACATCCTCTCGTTGGGAAACTCTTCCCTATTGTTGTTTTGAAGAAGAAAATTTGGATCTTTTGGCAATCCAATGATGGATGAAATACATAGCATCTTAAAAGAGATGGATCCTCTTAAATCACCTGACTCAAACGGATTCCATGACATTTTCTACCCAAATGTTGGGAAAGTGTTGAAAGCCCAAGTAGTCCTTTTTGTACAATACTTCTTTAATACACGTGAATTGCCCCATCTTATCAATCATTTAGTACTAATCCCAAAAACTCATAATACGCACACACACACCTTTAACCAATTTCACCCCATAAGTTTGCACAATGTGCTAGGTACGAGGATTTCGTAATCAAACTAGCGACTGCAAATGAGGATTATACTTTTTATCTTCTGTTGACACCTAAATTTTGGCTAATCATTTAGTGGTTAATTTGCATAGAAAATTAGGGATTAAATTTTAACCCCTAAACAAAAATATTAAAATTGCATAGCATATAGTTTAGGATCATGTAGGTTAATTACATTCCACATTGAACTAGCGGTCGCGAGCGAGCTTAAAATTCATCACGTAAACCGAGTTCGGGCACCGAATAAAACTCGGCTCACTCAGGGAATAGGAGCCAAAAATTACACGACAAAAGGGGCTTGGTTATCTTAATTTGAGCTTAAATTAGCCTATCAAGTTTAATTGAATAAAAGCCCAAATGAATTCAGTCCACTTGGAATTAAATAAAAATTAAATGATAAAGCCTAAGCCTAAGTCCATTAGGACTAGGAAGCTTAGCCAATTAACCTAGGGTTGCATATATAAATATATGATTATACCCCTCGGTCAGGGGCTCTCATAATTCCCAGAGTAGAATTTTCTGAGAGAGCGAGAAACACACGTAAGCGAGAGCAAGAGTAAGAGAGAGAGTCGGTCGTGTACACGCCTGCCCCACCGTTGCGCCTCCTCGCGACCACACTGCCTTCATCGCGCTGCCTCGCTGCCACCACCGCGCCGCCTCGCTGCCACCACCGCGCCGACGACCCCGCCTGAGCCTCCCGTCGCTGCTGCTCTGACGGTCACGGCTGCTCCTCCACCGCCGCGTCACTTGCACCCTCCAATCGTGATCTCCAGCCAGCTCGCGAGACATCAAGCACCAAGCTACACCTGACTTGCTTCTCCGACAACAGAAAAGAGAAGAAATACAAGTTTTGTACATTGGAGGCCACACAATTTCATACACGGCCACAATAAATCGAGAGAGAAAAATAGAGAGGGAGGTCGGCCATTTGAGGAGTTATTTGTGTCGCGTTTCACGCTGCTGGTCTGGGCGTCTTCATCAGAAAATTCACGATTGGTACGCCATCACTTCGCAAGAGACAATCCGGAGAAAGAAAGAGAGCAACCAAAAGCACAAAAAAGGGAGAAGACTTTGAAGCGGTGGTCTTCGTCTGGAGTAGTCCAAGCCGAGAGAGAGGCAGAGGAAGCTTTCACCAAAGGAAAAAAGAAGCTTTTCTTTGTCTATCTCCACTGATTGCACGAAGGAGTCTCTCTCGCACATCTTTGTCGACAAGGGATTTTTCTTCCTCTGCAAAGAGAAGGCGTCCACAAGAGAAAACGCCAGAGAGAAGAAGCTATGCCCTCAACGCAAGAGACACGTACGCTGAGCAAGTGATGCACAAAGTGCTCTCTCTCATCTCCGAGTTCATCGCTGCCGTGCAACTTCCAGTCGATTCGAAGCATTCCTGCAGCGATTCCGGTGGACTTCAAGCGGATCTTAGCATGTCCATAGTCCATAGTTGCCGCTGCCGCCGCCGGCCCACCCGCCGTCGGATGTCCCGTGATCCACAAGCCCGATCCGATCCGAGTTCGAATTTGGAAGTTATCTGCGAAATTAGGTAATAATTCTTATCCATATTCTTAAAATATTCAATTGCCTAACCTTTAGGATAATTCAAATATTGCATGAATGTTCTGTGGATAGCTAGATATCTTAGGATAATGTTTGCTTTATCCGCAATATTTGAAAATACCTAAATTAGGAATTTTGTCTAATTTAGCAACGTATCTGGATGACTATCTGACCTTAATTTTAAGGTACGATATGCAGTGATACGGAAAGATCGTTATCTTATCCATAACCACTTGGATAAGATAATAAACCTTATCTGCTTTCCAAATTTAAACAATCGACTTCTGGTTGATATCTATAACCCTATAGATATGACCGTTAGTTCGATTCCCTTTCCTAATTCGAACATGATGAGAAAGATCTTGCGGATGGCATGGATGATTGATCTTTGATTGTTATCTTGTGTGTGATTTATTTTCCTTTTAAAAAGAAAATCAAAAAAATATATTAGTTAGGCTTTAAATTATAAGTTTTGCATGTTTAAGGAATCCTAAATATATAAAAAAGAATAAGATAATTATTTGATTTAAATTGGGATTTAGGGTAACATATTTCCTAGTTTAATTAGAGATTGTTTTAATCTTAGTGGATTATTTAGGATATTTAATTATTTCGAATTTTCATAAAATATCCAAAAAGAGTCACTTTAGGATAGAATAAATCATTTTTCCTAGGATAGATTGCATTGTTAATTCGAGTAATTTTTAATTTCGAAATTTAATAACAAATTTCCCAAAAGAACTTGCTAGATTACATACTATTTTAGGCATTTTTTTATTATTTCAAAATTTAAGGAAAAATACCAAAAAATACATCGTCTTCCGTCATTAGAATTAGGTCACGTCGTCATATGACATATAGTTTGCATGCTAGGTTTCATTAATCGCATGTCAAATTTTTGCATGTCATTGTATATAGGTTAGTTTGCATTTTAAAAAAAAGCGCAAACCCTAAAGAACACCTTGAGTGCCTCGCTTTGTTAATTAGAAATCATATTAGGGTTGTCTGTGTGATTTTCTACTAACAAATGCATATGCTTTTGTTGTTTCAAGATACGTTATTCTCCTAATCCAGCAATTTATTTACCGTTTTTCTTACTGGGTGTTAAATTGGTGGTTTGCGCACCTGCATGGTCACCTCACATGTTAGTATTTAGGTAATAAAATGGATCTAAACTGCCTGCCTAAACAATTTTTTTGAAAAGAAAAGGTACCGAAAGGACATTAGACTAGATCTAGCATAATCAAGTTCCCGAGCTTAGAATCTCTGGTTCGTAGAAATAAACATATCTCCCTATGTTTTATTTAGGCTTAGTTTTAATAATCCATTAG